ATTGAAAATAGTGATTATTGATATAATTGAAATAATTAAAAGCAACGATAACTGTCTATTGTTGGCAATTTCGTAAGATAAAAGGACATTCTAATAGTGTTTCCACTCCCCCAACTCCTCTCCCCATACCCAACGGGGGAAACTAAATCAAGGCTTGTTTTCTTATTTGGGCCTGGAAGATAAAAACTGTCGCTGATCTTCAGCAAAATAAAGACATCCAAGAACTGTTGTCCTACATAAATCCAGGCCTAGTATTTATTGATCTCTTTTCCTCTTCAATTTATTTTAATCATCGTTTCTCCCTCCTATTTTTTTACTAGTTGTATGACCTTGGGCAAGTTATTTAGCCTCTTTGACCTTTGTATTCTATATTGTGAAGTTCTTGTGAGGATTAAATGAGTTAAAACATATGCTTAGGACTTTGGACGTTTTCCTTGTTCAAGGCTGGTATGTCCTGGAGGGCCCTGGGCTGAGGGTGGCTTAGGTCATGGGATAAGGTTGGGACTTAAAAAGGACAGAAGTGACGTGGGACGAGTGAAGAGCCTCATGGCTTCCTACTCTCTGTACTGAGCCTGTTTCGTTTAACAGCCCCTTCCATTTAAAATGAGAGCCTGTCTAGGAAAAAATTGAGAATAATCAAATCTGTCGCAAAGAACAAAACGGAGGAAGTTGGTCATAAGAATACGGTATCTAGCAAGAAGCCTTCAAGGAAGGGGTTGAAGCTGGAGAAGCCTGGAGGGGCCCTGAAAACCTCTTGCATGCTACATAGCTTCCCCCTGGTTTTTTTCCATTGTTGGGGGTACAAGTGATGCTTAGCAATGTAACAGGTCGCTCTGCCAGAGAGCAAGCTCTTCAGTTTCACAGGGCACATACCCAGCAGCGTGGACCTTAAGAGTCAGGAATGCTAAAACTGACCTCAAAAGTTTACCTCTGTATCTCCAAGTTTCATGATTTCACTTTTTAAAGTATTGCAAAAAGATACCTAGCTTTATTGCTGACTGGGAAAAATATAAGGAATTAAGTTAGCAGTGCACACAAGGTAAAGATTAAGGAATGTTACCTTGTTGGAGGTACTCATTTTTATACTTCGCCGCAGACTGTTCCTCTCCAAGAAATCCTCTTTAAAATAGTGTTGTAAGATTGTTGAGGCCCATGGGCTGAATTCAGCCTATGTAAAAGTTTGTTTGGCTGTACAGTTAAAGAAATTCCTTTAAAGTAACACTTTAAACATTGTAAATATTTAAAAAAATCTAGATTTCCAGCTTCTCTTTACAAGTCGTAAGTTATGGTGGCATTAGGCTTACAGTGGCACAAGGCAGCAACTAGCTCTGCTTCCTTTAAAAGCCGTGAGTGTCCTTCGATTCACCTACCCCGCCGTTCACAGAACGCCTGCAACGGTACGTGAGTACTTGCTGGTTTGGAAGGAGCTTGCATTGGCTACATGGTGGTCAGGCACTGGCTGAGATGTTAACTTGGAAGCTGAGACCTACAGGAAATTAGCTTTGAGTGATCGCAACCTGCGAACCTCAGTTTCCCTATCTGTAAAACGGGGCTGACAAGGGGCAGCTGTGGGACGGGTTGGCGATGGAGTATACAAAGGGACCGAGGTAAACGATTTCCATCACATTAACGCCCCGGAGTGTACGGACTCCAAAAGGGACAGGACCAGATGGAGGAAGCGCTCCGGGCGCAGAGCTGGAGCTCAGGGACGCACGGCGGCACTTCGCTCTGCTCTGCTCTCCTCCCCTCCCCGCCGCGGGCCCCCGCTCTCTGCCGAGGTCGGTCCCGGGGCGCCGAGAGGTGTGGCCGGCCCGCGCAGACCCTAGTGGCGGCCATGGCCTCGGTGGTGGAGTACAAGGGACTCAAGGCCGGATACCACTGCGGCTATTGCGACTCCGAGGAGGGCAAGGCATCCTGCGGTGAGTGTCTCCCTCGACGGAACTGGCGCGGCCGCCTCGCGTCCAACATCCGCCCCTCCCTTCGTGCCCCGCGCCAGCCCCTCGCGGCGGAGCTCACGGGTCCGGCTCCCCCACTCCCGCTTCCCTTTCCCACTCGTTTCTTCCCAGACCGTTATCTTTCACGCTGCGTTTTCCAGCCTCACCCTCACCGAAGATGGCCGCCCCTCTCCGAGAAGGAACAGAAATAGGCGAAGGCTGCCCTGGACCAAAATGGCGCGGGCGGCGTCAACGCCGTGGGGCTCCGGCAGGGCCCGGCTTGCGGGAGGCCGCGCGGCTTCGGGTGCGCTTCTGGGGCTCCGGGCGGCGCGGTGCATTGTGGGGTGGCGGCGGCGGCGGCGTTGGGCTGGGTTGCGCCGTGTTTGGAAAGCCGGGGCCATGGCTTCCTGTACACCTCTTTCGTCCAGCATCGTGGAGTATTTCGAGGGCGATGGCTATTACCGCTGTGGTTATTGCAAGAACGAGTCGGGAAGTCGCTCCAATGGTGAGCGGGCCGGCGGGTGGGCAAAGGGAGGGCGCCGCGGCCGCGGGGGCTCCGCGGCTCTCCAGCTCGGGCCGACCGGCTCGAGGGACCCACGGCCGCTGGAGCCCTCGCCCAGCCCCTGTCTGGTGGAGGGAGTGCGGAACGCAGCTACCCCGTGGCTGTCAGCCTTACATAAAAACAGATCTCACCTCATGCAGCAGGTAAGCTTCTAGGGTGCATATTCTTCACTCAGGTGCTCGGCCGTGCGAGATAGTGACTCTCGCAGAAGCCAAATGTGGAAACATGCCCATCACCAGTGACGGGTAAATAGACGGTGGCATGCGTGCCAGGGAGCCCTATAGTGTCGTCAGTTAGGGCTGGGGCTACCCTGTGAGTCTGACGCTGATGGGGGAATATCCCCAAGTAGTAGGTTAGTTGGGCAGAGAGTGCGTGGTGGTGCCGTTTGTGTAAAAAACGGTGTGTGTGCGCGCACACGTGTGTTTGGGCATCCATGAATAAAACGTCTCCGTAAGAATATACAAAAAACTCGTGACCATAGTCGCGGCTGGCAGGGGGACCGGTTTGTACTGATGTGTTTGGAATTTTTACCAGGCGCTAATATGCCGTATCATTTCCCCACCCACCTCGATGACGACGCAAAGCCAGCCTGCAGTTGTTTTTTTTACCCCTTTCCCTCTCATCATTTAGGTTTCTTTAGGAAAATGTGTTGTTTATAAACAAAACATGGTGTTTATTTTCCGCAATGTCATGCGTTGGCAAATGCAAAATCTCCTGTTTTAAAGAACAGTCCAGGGTTGTGGAAAATGAGATATCCACGAAGATGTAAATTGAGGTAGTTCCCATTTTGGAAACAGAATAAGTTCCCTACAGTAGGGCAATGATTTATTTGGGCGATTATAGTGTGTCCATTTACTAATTAATTAAAAGTGTTTATTAGGTGCTTCTTGTGGGAGAGGGAGTAGAATGTGATATAATGCAATCATTGTGAGTGAGGATTATGAAGATGATGAGCAAAGTGGGAAGATGTTTAGAGTGTAGCGTTAAACGGAGAAAATAAACAGAGTGCAAATGACATGTGATATATTTACGAATATGGGAGGGAAAAAACCCAGAAGTACACCAGTTGGTGAGTGGTGTTCAGCCTTAGGGTATTCATTAGACTCCTCCCTTTTTCAGAATTTTGGCATTGAGACTATGTGTGTCATGAATATGTTATATTAAATATGTCTAAAATTAACATTTTAATAGATTTTTATTATTCTAGTAATTTTATTAAGAGAAAATTGGTTAATGTAGATGTTCTGTGTTTAAAGTCTTGTGGAAGAAACCTGCTTTCGACCTTTTTACCTAAAGCGATAACTGAAATTCTTACCATCTTGACTTTAATTCTAATAGTAATCTTTACAATAGAACACCCGACGTATTGGGTGGGTAGGTTTTATTATTCCAGAGTTACAGGTGAGGAAATCAGGCTTTGCAGAGTGAACTTGCTGGTGTTAATCCTCTAGTGCCCAAGTTTTTCTCACTAGATCCTACTCTCCCAGGCCCGCCTCCTCTGCCTCTGTGCATCTCTGGTGCAGTTTACTCTTTGCAAGAGAAAAATTCTTGTTTCTTTTAACGTTACCCTTTATTATACCCATTACCATAAATATACCCTTTAATGTTATTGTCATAGTCTTCATTTTTTTATGGTTGCATCATTATTTCATCATATCGATAACACAGAGAACCTGTAATCACCTGTCCCTAGGCATTTGGGTTATTTTAGTTTTTATACTTAAAAGGAACATGACTGTTAATTTTTGTCCTGTTTTTTTGTATTCAAGACTATGCTATAAATGTATATAAAAACCAAATTTATATGCAGAAGAAAACATTTGCTTTCTAATAACTTTTCTAAAGAGACTAGTTTAATCATTTATTGGGGGTATTATTACTATTATTATAAGGTATAATGTAACCTGATTGCAGTGAGGACCTACATTTATGATGTCATGGAGACTCTTGACTAATCTTGAATTAAATGTAATCACTTTGATGTGTTTTTTTTTTAAATTAAGATGATCTATTGTTTTCATTTGTTATTTATTACGTTAAACCAACGAGTATAAAGTATGCAAACTTTCATTCCTCCAGTGTGAGCTGGATTTTTTTCCTTCTATATTCACATTTAAAAAAATACTGCTTTGAATTTAAACGAGTAAAAAGTTCAGTCTGTTGTAGTTGACATGTCACTTATCTTTTCAGGCATGTGGGCACATTCCATGACGGTACAGGACTATCAGGATCTCATAGATCGAGGATGGCGAAGGTAAAGCTCCTCAGTGCAAAGATACTTCTCTTTATTACTCAGGTTCTTCCTATAATTGAAAAAAATATTGTATGCCTTTAAAATGTTTTCCTGTTTGGAAAGAGGTTTAAGAAATTTTTTATTATTTTGTGTAATAATTTTGTTCTCTCTCTTTTCAAGGATCTTTATTAGGAAAACTTTAAATATATACAAACACAGAGAGGACATAATAATGAACCTCATGTGTCTATCACCAGGCTTCACCTGTTGTTGACATTTTGCCAGTCTTGTGTCCAACCAAAGTTCACAACTCTAACTCCCTAACTTCTAACTTTGGGAGGTGATTAAGTCATAACGGTGGAGCCTTCATGAATGGGACTAGAGACCTTCCAAAAGAGCTCCCTTGCCCACCCTTGCTCCCCCTGAACATGATGGAAAGAGGAACCAGGAAGTTTGTCTTCAGAAGACACCAGACCTGCCGGTGCCCTGATCTTGGACATTCCAGCCTCTAGAACTGTGAGGAATAAACTTCTGTTGTTTAGAAGCCGCTCAGTCTGCGGCACTTTGTAAGAGCAGCCCAAGCACACTAAGGCACTCCCCCACTCAATAATTTAAAGCAAATTTCAGGTGTCTTTTCAATATACCTATAATAGGTATGTGTTTCTAAGAGAGAAAGAGTCTTTTTTCTTTTATTACATATCTACAATACATTTATCATACTTGACAAAGTTAATAATTCTCTGATGCCATCTCTCACCTAGTTTTGATTAGATTTTCTGCTTGTCTCAAAATGTCTTTTTTTAATGACTTTAATAGTGTATTATTGTATTTTTCCTATTACCATTTATCCCCGTTATACCCTGTCCACCTCCCCCGCCCCTCCCCCCACAGTCACCACGCGGTTGTCTGTGTCCTTGAGTTCTTTCTCACTTTCGCTCAATCCCCGCACCCCACAGCCCACCCCCACCCAGAGCTGTCAGCCTGGTCACTATCTGTGAGTCTGTCTCTATTTTGCTTGTTAGTTAAGTTTGTTCATTAGATTATGGTATTTGTCTTCTTCTTTTTTTAAACAGTTTATTTGAATCAGGATTCCATTAAGGTCCACACATTGCCTTGGATGGCTATGATTTTTCTGGTGGTTATTGTTATGTAGATGATTTTAAAGTAACTATTGAGTATTAAGTGAAGTTCCTTGTACACATAGCATAAGCAGCGTTAGGTGCCCTGTGCCGGTGGTCCACAAGAGACATCGGATTGAGCACAGCAGGTGAAACTTTCCAATTTCCCTTAAACTTGAATGAGTTTCAAAAGTAGCTATGGGTCAGGTATTGAAGGGCTTTGTGTGCCATGATAAGGGACATTTTTAAAGGCAAAGGGGAGCCGCTGAAGGCGTTTATGTGACAAAGATGTGATGGGATTCGTGTTTCGGAAATCGTCCTTCACGTAGCAGGGAGGCGTTTGAGGGGGTGGCCCTGGAGGCAGGAGGCGGCTTCCGGAGGCCGCCGCAGTGTGGGATGTGAGATGGTGGAGACTGAAATGATCATCAGTAGCAGAGGCGATGGAGAGGAGGGGACAGAGTTAAGATGGAACGTAGAAGTAGGAAGCTTGCCGATAGGACGTCGAGCTGCATTGGAGGTAAGAGCCTGAGGTGGCCCCTGGGTCCCTGGCTCGGTAACTGACCTCGTGCTTGTCCGGGCTGCTGTAACAGGGCACCACAGGCGGGGCAGCTTAGACAACAAAACTTTGTTCTCTCTCCACCCTGGAGGCTGGGGGTCTACAGTCGAGGCGTCCGGAGCTGGGGTTTCCTCTGGGGCCTCTCTCCTTGGTCTGCGCACGGCTGCCTTCTCGGCATGTCCTCACATGGTCCTTTCCCTTGGTGCGCACGTCCCCGCTGCCTCACGTCTCCTTGTGTTTCCAGTTTTCTTCTCTTAAAGGACGCATGCAAGATTGGATTAGGGCTCGCCTTAGCGGCTTCCTTTTCACCCAGCCACCCCTCTAAAGCCCTCACCTTCAAATTCTGAGGTGCTGGACGCTAGGGTTTCCACGTGAATTGTGGGGGACAGAATTCAGCTCACGATGTCATGATTCTGCCACTGACTGAGATCTAGAAAGCATGAAGGGAGCAGGTCGGGGCTGGGGGTCCTTTGTGCAGTCACGTGTGGAACCCCCAGGCGTGGGTGCCATAGGCAGCGGTGTCCAGCAGCCCCACAGCACGCCGGGTGGTTTCTCGGCCCGTGGCGTTTAGGGTTGGGGTGGTCGGTCAGGCATGGAGAAGATGGCCGACGCGAACGAGAAGGGGGCTGGGTGATTAGCCTTGGAGCACGCAGGCGAAGGGCTAGCGAAGGACGAGCTGGCCTCTGGTCCATGGTAGACCCACGGGGCAAGACTGCTTCGCTTAAGAGGGGCTAAACCTAAGTGCAGTTCTTACACTATTGATTAGATTTTTACCCTAGCTGAGTTTGTGCTTCTGTACTAATTTACTTTGGTATATATGAGAAATGTGTAAGAAATTAACAAAACTATTCTGTAATTTTAGAAGCGGGAAATACGTGTACAAGCCTGTGATGGATAAAACGTGTTGTCCTCAGTACACGATAAGGTAAGAATTTTTTTAAAAGATTTTATTTGTTTTTAGAGAGGGGAGGAGGGGGAGAAAGAGATGGAGAGAAACATTGATGTGAGAGAGAAACATCCATTGGTTACTTCGTAAGTGCGGGACTGGGGACCACACCCATAGGCCAGGCATGTGCCCTGACTGAGAATCAAACCGCCTACCTTTGGCTTTGTGGGTCGATGCCCAACCAACTGAGCCACACCAGTCAGGGCATGTGGTAAGAATTTTGATTGCTAGAAGGGGGCTGTATAATATGAAGGTTGTGTATAATTTTTTAGTAGAATCTTATTTGTTTTAAATGTTAATTTTCATTCTAGGTAGGCATTTTTTATAAGGAAAAGCAAATGAGTTAGGGCTTTTATACATACTGATGATATATTCACATGCTGATCAGTAGCTTTTATTAAGGTTTAATTGGTTCATATATAAATATATGAAAAAAATACCTTCTTTATTTGGTAGTCTGGTCAGTGATACCATGAAATAGTTGGAAAATATTGGTAAATACTGAAAGTATTTTGAGATGCCAAGTTTTTGTAGGTTTTAGCTGAGGGCTTTCCCGGCCCTGGTGTATTCCTTGACAGAGAGCCTAAATTCAGGCAATGCTGTAGGATTCAGGGGTACGGTTGAAGTGTGATTCACCACGTGCATTTGCAGTCCACTTTTCTTCATCGGAAAACTTTAACTAAAAACTCTCATTTTCCTACAAAGCGTTTGATTAATTTTTCACAATCTTTTGGGTTTACCCTCTGCCCCCTTTACTCACCCTAACATGGAAAGGTTTTCCCCTCCTCTTCGATTATAAAGGACCTCCTCCTCTTCTCCTTCGTTGTCCTGCTCTCCCCTTCTCCTTCTCCTAGAATAAAACAGGAAAAGCACATTAACATTGTGAAGCAGTTGTCTCCTATTTTAATGTGTATGTACAAGGTATGCTTCAAATAAAAAAGCAAACAGTTGTATCCATCATTTTCTGACTTTGTTGTGTTTAATTTTTTGTACACTGTTTTGAGAATTTGATGAAAGTTATAGGCCCTCCCTGCAACAAAACCAAACAAGGGAGGGGGCACATTCAGAATGATCACAGACCCCCAGGAAGTCCCACTGATTCTTGGTTAAGAATCCTTTCGCTCATCTAACTGATCATAGACCTGGGACAGTAAAGAGAAAGACCAGGTCTGTCTGGCTTGCTGACAGCATCTCATTTATTACGCACAGAATAACATGACAGAGTAGCTGTGCTGCCCTCTTTCAACTGGAGTGGTTATGGAACAGTGACATCTTCAAAGGCGGAAGTCATTTTCCTTCAGATAGCAGTTTTTATTACTGGATTATGGCTAGGATTCTGTTCAAGTAGGTCTGAGGTTGATTGGCCTGAACCCTGAGAATCGCTAACCAGAAAAGGCCAATTTCAATGGGTTAAGGAAAAATACAAAACATCTACAGTTTATTGGGTGCTTGTCACATGCAAAGCATGGTTTCTGGTAAATTGTTTTTAATTTTTTTTAAATTGATTTGAGAGAGAGAGAGAGAGAAGCATCATGTGCTGTCCTGCTCATCCACGCGCTCACTGGCTGATTCCTGTGTGCGCTCGCTGGTGTTCTGGGGCTGAGTGGGAAGTGGGTTTGCGATCTCCGCATCCAGTGCGTAGACTTTGCTTTAAACTTCTGTTTCCAGTGCAGCAACATAGCTTTCATCTGTGCTGTGCCCCTCATGCAAGCGGCTCTGTGTTTTACGCTCCTATAACTTCACAGTTTTTTGCTGGGCTGGGTAAGAAGTCACCTGTGCAGAGTAGGGGAGGGCATCAGATGTCTTAATTGCTTTCAAAACAGACTTTCAGGGGGTCTTCCTGGTTTTAGACCCACCTTCTTGTATATTATTGCTAGTCCCTAAGACTTTTTAGGAGTAATGCAGGGAAAATTGGGTACCTTTTTGGCTTTTTTCACTGTTTAGAATTCGGGGTTCTTTGGTCTGCTAAGTCGGTCACCATGCCTACATCTGCTTTCCAGCTGCTAACATTTCTCCCATCCTCTTCTTCCTAGTGGTTTATGTCTTGTCTTTTTTTTCTATTCCTTAACTAGTTTTAGGGAGATTTGAGGTGAGTTAGAGGCTGCATTAAACCTTGTCTTTATCTAGAAATTTTGGGCATAAGCTTTGCCTCATTGTACTAGATACTATCCATAACTGGTTTTATTGTTTTAAAGTTTGGGTTCACTTTTCTTATATTTATTTTGCTTTTCTAGGTGCCAACCTTTACAGTTTCAGCCATCAAAGTCTCACAAGAAGGTTTTGAAAAAAATGTTGAAGTTTCTGGCTAAAGGGGAGATTTCCAAAGGAAATTGTGAGGGTAAGATGAGACGGGAGTCTAAAAACTATTCATTTATTTATTTATTCAAAATTTTTATTTATTGATTTTACAGAGAGAGAGACACACACACACACCCCCCATTGATTTGTTCCACTCATTTATGCATCCATTGATTGGTTCTTGTATGTGCCCTGACCCTGGACAATGCTCTCTAACTGACTGCGATACTGGCCAGGGCTTTAAAATGGTGTATCTTTTCAAGTTTCTCACTTTCAGCCATTTCATAAGTTAGGTAGGGGAAAAGGAGTCCTTACGACAATCAGGTACTGCTGTTACTACGGTGACGATGATGATTAGGACTGCTGTTCCTGTGACCCCTGGCCCTGAGTCAAGGGTCTGGGGAATGTGTGCCAGGGCGAGTCTTGGGAAGAAGATTTAGGATCATTTTGAAGATGCAATATCCTGGAGTTTATTGAAATTTTAGTTTTCATCATGCTTTGACAACTCTTACTTGATCCCAATAGCACCCTTATGAAGTAAATAGAAAGTGGTATTATCTCTGGAAACAGGTGCTTATGTGCAACTTACGTGAGACCACACAGTCACTTTCACTGTTGAGTAAAGCTCAGATTTTTAATGTTTAAGTAAGACTGACTTAAGTAAATTACATTGCCTGAAATCCCGTTTCTTTCTTGTCTGATTTTTGAAGTCTGATTTTGAATTATGAGTGAATTTCCTAAAAGACTTTTAGTAACATTTAATTAACTATGGTTACGGATATTTTGCATCTTCAGTTTCATTACTAAAACATATGTAAGAATTGAGAATGCCACTCATTTTTTGAGCTCTTGCTCACTTTGGCCGTAGGAAATGCCTGATCCTGGGAGCCTCCCACGCCAGTCTTAGCGTGTTCATTTCTTCCCTAGCAGGCTTTGAATGCCTGCCATGTCCCAGTCCCAGTTTTAAGCACTGGAGAGACTGTGGCCCGCAAGACAGGCAAGTTCTTTGCCATCATGCACTGTCCTTAATGGGCCAGGAATCGGAACAGCTTGGAGCAGATGTTGGGGCAACAGAAGGGCCAGGAGGCTCAGGGACATAGACGTTCAGGGGCAGCTGGAACATTGGGAACATCAGAATTTTGGTGCAGCTCTGATTAGTATTGTCAGTACATAATTTTAAAGACTAAATAGTCTTTGTTGGTTAGTCAGTATAAAATTTTCATTGGCTGGGAATCATATTCTGTGTTTCAAAAATTAATATTCAGATAAGCTTAGAGGATGCTGTCCGTGTATAAATTGATGGTTGCCTGTCTTTTATGTAGCTTTTATGTTTGGTTCTTTATTTGACTTGTATAGTCTTCTGAATTATTTATGTCTACAACTTAATTAATAGGAGTGATGCACTCATTCGGATAAAGTCCCAAATAACTATAACAAAGAGACACCAAAATGCAGTAACTAAACATAGACAGAAGTCCGTTCCTTTTCTCACACAGCAGCAGTGTGTGGGTCCCGGGTCGGCCATTCTGGGACTCTCTTCCTGTGATTTCCAGGGTTGCTCTGGTTTTTACTGATCTGGCCAGTGAGGAGGGGAAAGATTGGAAGTTCAGGGCCACAGATTTCCTTTAAAACAAGCAAAACAAGCAGGGTCACAGATTTCCTTTTAAAACAAAATTGGACATGTCAGGTCGGTTATATTTCATTGGTGGGAGCTCGGCCACCCCTTGTGAGGGGCCTGGCATTCCCTCCCCTTGCTTGGGTGCCACAGTTCTAACTGCAGCTCTGCTACTTTGGAAGACACGGGAAGAGATTTGGCGGACACAGAGTAGTTTCTGTCACATTGGATAAAAGGGACATGTTTTCCTTCATGTATCTTAACTGTATCTGGCTGATGGACTTTGATTTCTTTTGATGTGTAGATGAGCCTATGGAGCCCCTGACGGAGGATGCTGTTGCTGGTGACGTGGCGTTAATAAATAAATTGGATATACAGTGTGACCTTAAAAGGCTCGGTGAAAACCTCAAAGAGAGCTTAGCGAGGGAAGAGAAGAAAGGAAAAAGCGCAAAGAAAGAAGAATCTAATGAATTAATTCAGTCACAAGATAAAAGGGCGAAGTTGGGCTCCGGCGAACCATCCCCTTCCGTTGCAGTGCACACAGCTCCCAAGCCAGGTAGTGAGAGTTCGTTGGCAGGCGTGTTAAAGTCCTGTTAAGTGCTTTTCTCTGCGTTCTCATCAGCTAAAGATATGAATTACTCATGACATCTGTAAACTAGATCTGTTTTATACAACTTATTACCTGGATTTAAATGGACAAATCACATCTTTTTAAAAGCTCCCATGTTTAATAAGCCTGACAGAATAGCCTTATTACCCCTAAGACATTTTAAAAACGCTCCATTTTTTCTTACTATGTTAGGGCCATAGAGGTTTGAGACCCAAATTTATGTAAAAAACATTTGCTAAACATTTTAGTTTTTGGTGTTAAAGTAAATTTTGGGTGTTATGTCCAAAATACAGAAAATGTGAAATTCTTCATTTTATCATGAGATTCTTTTAATCATAATAAATTTTACTTAAAAAAATATTCAGATTTTGATATTTAACTTCACCTTTAATAAGGTAAGATTTCTTTCTGTATTTTCACTGATCAAAGAATTAGACTTAAGAATTTTATTCATCATTAAATGGGTTTATTGTGTGTGTATGCATGAGCATGCATGTGTGTACATGATTCTTTTAAATTAGCATAAAATAATTTGGATGGTTTATGCTTCAGTTCCTGAATTTGTTCTTCTATTTATTTATATATGATGATCCAAGGGAGAGATTTTTTGTACTATTTTAGTTTTTCTTTGTTACGTATATAAAAGCACAGAAAACTGCGTTTTTATTGAATGGTTTTTTTAATGTAAGGCTTTCATGGCATTTAAATTGTTATTAAATTCTAATAACAAGAATACTCCAATAAAATAGTATGAATGATTTAGATAATTTCTTTCAACTTTTGCTCTCTTGAGCAATAGGGTTCTTTTATTTTTAATATTTTATTATAGAAATTACCGTGTATCAGATCTAAAGCCTATTTTGGAGAATTTCAAAGAGACGCACGTAGGCAATGTTATAATGAACTTCCATGTACACTCCCCTCATGTGAAATGATCATAAACTCATGATGGCCACTCTTGTTTCATCTGTACTCGCCTCTAGTTCCCCCTTCCAGTGTCATAGTGAAGCAATTCCAGACATTGTATTATCTTATATTTCAAAATGCATCTCTAAAAGATGAGAACTTTAAAAAATATTCACAATACTATTACACCTAAATAAAATGCCCTAATGCTATTCAATAGCCAGTTTAAATTTCCAATTTTTAAACATTTGTGTGCATTGGCTCCCACTTTTTAATTTGCAGTTATTTGTTAAAGAAACTGGGTTGTTTGTTTTGAATTGTTGGTCCTACTACTCTCTGCATTCGCCCAGTAACATCTGCAGTCCAGTTTAACATTTTCTCTGCCTGCCACACCAGCCAGGGCTAGATATTCTCATTCTATCATTCATTTTTCATTTAAATGTGTATATTTATATATAACTGGACCCTTGATCAGATTCAGTATTAAATTGTTTTTTGCTTTTTGGAGGGGGTACATCTTAATCGGGTTCAGGTTCAATTTATTTATTTGAGAATGGGTTAAGCTACTTCATGGGTGGCGGATGTTCTTTCAGGAGATAGAATGTTTGGGTGCCTCTTCTTTTGTTAGTGTTAATAGCCATGCTTAAATCCATTGATCCATTAGATATTCTAAATTAAAAAAAAAGATTTTATCTTCCTATTTTTAGAGAGAGGGGAGGAAAGGGAGAAATAGAGGGACAGAAACATCAATGTGTGGTTGCCTCTCGTGTGCCTCCTACTGGAGATGTGGCCTGCAACCCAGGCATGTGCCCTGACTGGGAATCAAACCGACAACCTTTTGGTTCATAGGTTGGCACTCAGTCCACTGAGCCACACCAGCCAGGGCTAGATATTCTCATTCTATCAATGATTTTTCATTTATTGGCTGGAATACTTTTATAAAGAGAACCTTTCCCGCAACAATTTGTTTCCCATAAGAACTTGTAGCAAAAGCAGGATAAATTCTTGCATTTTACTTTCCATTTTTCAGAGTAACATAAAATGACTTTTAACATGGTATATTTCTTTCTAAATGTTTTCTAAATATTTTAAATGTGTATATTTATATATAACTTTTAACACTGTATAATGACAGATACCCTTAAATTTCTAAAACATTTTTAGGAGCCATGGTATTCTTTTGTTAGATATTTTTAAAGTTGTGTAGTTATTCTATAATTGGGCATTTTTGATTATTTTTAGGTTTTCATTTGTGTTATTTGCCTGCATATCATGATTTTCTCAGGATAGCTTTCTTGAGGATGCCTTACTAGATTAAAAGGCACTCACTAAAATTTTTGGTGTATAATAGTTACAATTTTTATATTTAAAATTTTTAAGATACATATTTATTGATTTCAGAGAGAGCGAGCGAGAAATGCATTGATGTGAGAGAAACATTGATTGGTTGCCTCTCTTACACGTCCCAGCAGGGGCCGAACCTGCAACCCAGGCCTGTGCCCTGACAGGGCATCGAACCTGTAACCCTGCACGGGACGGTGCTCCAACCAACTGAGCCATACCGGCAGGCTAAAATTTTTATATGTTAAAGATGTTTGCTTAAAACAGAACTTGTGATTAATTAGAGCTAGCTGATGTGACCTCTCAAATGGGGAGAGACGTGCAAGGATGGTTTTCCAGTGAAAAACCTGCTGCAGAGTGTTCTGGGATCTCCACTCACTCACTCACACCCAGTTGCTGAGCACGTGTCTGTGTCACCAGCGCCTTCAGAACTGCGGGCTGGAGACAGCAGTGTCCTGAAGCAGAAGATGTTTGATGATGTTCTTTTCTCCTTACAAAAGCAGAGAATGGGCAAGTAGGTTTTAAACTACTGAGAAAGATTTTCAACAATCAGAGCTGCCTGAATAATTCTGTGCCCATTTACTTTCTTTGGCATTTCCTGCTTCTAAGGCTGAGTTTTAAGGTCAGCTTAGAGCCCTACACCAGGATCCTCTCAGGGGTGTCCAGCCTTTTGGCATCTCTGCGCCACACTGGAAGAAGAGTTGTTTTGGGCCACACATTGAATACATTGCAACATGTAATCACACAAAAATCTGACTGTTTTTAAGTAAATTTGCGATGCTGTGTTGTGCCACATTCATAGCCATCCTGGGCGGCATGCGGCCTGTGGGCCGCGGCTTGGACACCCCTGCACCATGTACCCCAAAGCTAACCTACAGTTGGAACTCTTTGGCCTTACTCTGTAGAATCGTGGAGACTTTTGAAAACAGGTTTCCAGAGCCAAATGTGAGTGGTCTAATACTTTGAAATTCTTTTTAGGCAAAGGGGCAGATCTGAGTAAGCCCCCGTGTCGAAAAGCGAAGGAAATCCGGAAAGAAAGGAAAAGGTTGAAACTCATGCAGCAGAACCCCACTGGGGAGTGTGAGGGTGGCCAGGCGCAGCGGGAACCGCTGTCTTTGCTCCCACCGAAGGCGAAGTCCAACCAGCCCAAATCACTTGAAGATTTAATTTTTGAACCTTTACCAGAGGATGCATCCCATAAATTAGAGGTACTTTGAAGAGTATATAATGCTTTGGTTTTATTGTTTTTTTTGTCGAGTACCTTGCGTGTTTTCATTTGAGGTTATATTAATCCATTGATATGTGGCTATTTAAACAATGGGAAATTAACATTAATTGGGACAGAGTAGCATTCGTATTTACTAAGTTAACTGCCACTTGAGAGAAACTTCTTTCTAAGATTTAAAAAAATGATGCAGTTTGACTAAAGTGGTGAAAACAGCTCCAGTTTTATATGCTGTGATGCATAAAGTACTCTGGATTCTCATATCCTTTGACTGAAATTTAGTCAAGTGAAAAGAAAAAAATACTATGTAAATTTTATTTTTTGGCAGTTTTGGTTCAGATAGTGAAAGAGAGCAGGTCACACTAGGCAGATCACTGCTTTAGCTTTTCGAATAATTCTGATCTTGATCAAAGTAGTGGATAACATTAGTGAGATATGCAAGCCAGCAGTTCGGAATTAACTTAACAATACTAAATTGTACTATCATAAACTTTTCATAAGTTCCCCCATATCAGTTTAGGATAATATGAGTACTTTCAGAGTATTTCTGTTATTCAGAGTATTTCCAAATTGAATTGATTTACATTCAGATTAAGTCTATACTTTTCAGTATTCATTTGTCAATTTTTTTCTAAAACATTAGCCATAATGATATCATATTCTTATACATGATTAACTGGCCAGCCTTTGAATTTATAGCTTAATATCATCTAAGAATATCACTTATCACTAAAGATTTGATATTAAAAGTTAACTTTGATACAGTCGAAGCCTTAGGACAATATGTATTATCAGACATAAGTTTTAATAGCTTTGACTATTAAAATTCCTTGGCTAGCCTGACTTTGTTATTGACTTTCTCCTTCCCAAGTTGTAAATGGCATTAACAAGCTATTTAAAATATTTTGTGCGGAGGCGTTTATCTTCTGATCATAAGGAGTCATGTATTTGGGGCGCCAGGCATACCTGACCTCACAGTCCTGCAGCAGGCAGCTCGTCCATTTTTATTGTGAGGGTACCCTGGGTGGCTCCAGACCTGTCGTCCACTGGGGGTTACTCTTTCCTCACCGAAGAGTTACTTCTCAAGGCTTATAGGAAAAGTTTTCAATTAGCAATTTATTGTATTGCTTTTGATTTTCTGTTTTACTATCCTGTTGTGCTAACACATTTTAACTGGTTAGTAAATAATTAATGTTAAATGTTAGCCATTACTCTTTGCAATTACTGTTTTTAATTTCATCCTCATTTTACGTATGAGTAAACTAAGGCACAGAGAGGTTAATTTATATTCTTGACCAAGACAGTGACATTAAGATTTGGGTAAAGGAAGCCTGATATTAGAGTCTTCTTTCTTTCTTTCTTTTTTTAAGATTTTATTTATTTTTAGAGAGGAGAAAGAGGGAGAGAAACATCCATGTGTGGTTGTCTCTCATGGACCCCCTACTGGGGACCTTACCTGCAATCCAGGCATGTGTCTTAGACCTGGAATCGAACTGGCAGCCCTTTGGTTTGCAGGCCAGCATTCAGTCCATTGAGCCACACCAGCTAGGGCTAGAGTCTTCGTTCTTAACTATGCTATGAAATAGAAATACTTTGTCTTTCAGAGTTATAAAAAAATATTGTTAGTTTAGTGTTAGCAATAACTCATGAAAGAGTGTCCAAAAAAGTATATTCACATTTTTAGTCTTTCTGACGGATTTACTGAGGTAAGTTACATGCAGCTAAGATTAAGGAGTATTTATTTGTATTTATATCTGAGTGCCAGATGTATTCTATCATTTTAGAATACAGGCGGGTTTACAGAATTTGGTCATAGACCCTAACTAGTCTTAGAATTTAGATAGGATCCTCTGCCTTCTTAATGAGTCTATAAGTTGGAAAGATAACTTTTCAAATTTATTTCCTAACTGTTGATTTTTAACGTTAAAATAGTATATGTTTATGTTTTAATATTTGTATTGAAACATTTGGTTCTTATTGGGTGGAAGTAACTGTTAATACATATTCATGGAATAAACAAATGAATTAATGAACATTGTTTTTTAACTCCTTCTGAAGGTGAGGCTGGTGAGATCATCTCCACCAAGTTCTCAGTTCAAAGCCACAATGCCGGAGTCGTACCAGGTCTATAAACGTTACCAGATGGTTATTCACAACCAACCACCTGATAAACCAACTCTAAGCCAGGTCAGCAGGCCAAGTGTAATTTTTCTGTGCAAACGGAACTTTCCCTTCCACTTGATATCACTGTACGAATTCTTGGTTTACTTGTGGTACATTTTATTTATATTCAGTTTGCAGCATATCTGCAAAGATATAGGACTGGATTAATGGACATTCTGAAAGTGCAGATTTTACCTAGTGCCATGATAAGTGCCAGTCATGTATAATTTCAAAGTGGAAAAGTAACACACAAAATCAATTACCTTTATTTACAGTCACTATGTTTAGATACACTTATCTAAAAGTAATAGAGCTCTAAGTACAAATATTTATGAGAAGAATGCAAAAAACTTAATTTTTTTATAGTAGCATACTTTGTACAACAAGCTTAATGTGCATCATCCCTGTTTTAGTCATGTGTAGAAAGGGCTCTTAACAGCTAACTTGCTCTGTTGATGTACTGCCCATTCTCAGCTGAGTGGAACTAGAAAAGTAAGATAGAAATTTTAACAGAAGTCCTCATTTACTTGTAATTTTATAAATCCAATTACCCAGGAAAAATCTGGAAGGATAAAAAAGCTAAAAACACTGTTGTGGTGACAAAAGTAGTGGCCATCACCGTTAGCAACGGTATTGACTCGAGGGTGTGCAGAAAACTACGATAGAGAAAAAACCAAAATAAAAGAGCTATACACTGTCTTGGCCCCAGTGAGTTAAAATTTTCACACAAACTAGTATGAAGTTAGTGCTCCAGGTTCTGTGCCAGCCAGCTCATTCCAGGGTTCGTTCATTCTATGAAAGCTTCCAGTGCTGAGCTTTGGAAGTGGACTTGCGGAGATCTTACTCTAGCCTCACCTTCAGAAGCATGCCATCAGGTAGAGATGTTTCAATAGCATTTGCTTGTATTTTCCTTGCTCTGAAGGTGAGGTTAGTACCTGTCTCCTTTGAGGACCCAGAGTTCAAGTCGTCCTTCAGCCAGTCTCTTTCTTTATATGTCAAGTATCAAATGGCCATACACCAGGACTCGCCTGATGAATGTGGAAAGACTGAGGTACCTTTCATTAAACGTTTTTTTCCTGTGTTAATGAGGTTGCCTGTGAAAAGCATAATGTAACTTTCTTATACCAATTTTTTAATCTGTTCAGTGGAGTGTGTATTACTCTCTACTCTGTGTATTACTGATATTTATGAAAACGACTCATACAGGTGAACATTTTAAATCCTCAGAAAAAAGGGTTTGTTTTTACTCAGTGTTCTGTCTGGGAACATGAACGCAGCATATTTATCTGTTGTCATCGGACTCGGTGAGCAGACATCACTGAGTGCTCGTTCTGTGCCAGCCTTTGTGCACAGGACAAAGGGAAGAGTCTGTGTCTTCAAGGGATTGATAATCACATGGGAAAGACAGTCCAGTAAACAGACATCTTAAGAAGCAAGTGAGAAAGAATATGTTGAGATTAGCTAGAACATCATTATTTTTAAATTTAAATTTTATTTTTCAAGTCCAGTTTACATTCAATAATTTATATTAGTTTCAGGTGTATGTAGTGCATCATTTAACAAGTGTTTATCAAGGGCTTCTTTTTCAGGCTAGAGATATTTAGAGGAATAAGAGATTGCATAGTTGTCACACAGGGATAGTGATGTGTTGGGAGGAAGACATGAAGAGATGCAAAGAATTAAAGTTTTGATTTTTTTTTAAATGACAGAAGTGTTAACTTAAAAGTGATGATTAATAAGGCCGGAGTGAATGCATGATTCCTAAGAGAGGGCTGACCTCTGGTCTCCCCGAGGCGTGCCGGTCCCAGTGTGGTGTGCGGACCGACAGCCTCCCCAACGCAGATTCTCAGGCCCCCCAGACCTCCCGAATCAATGTGTGCATTTTGAACCCCATCTCCAGGTGATTCATGTGCACATTCCGACTTGGGAAGGGCTTCCATAAGTTTCCCATCCGACACGCAGGTGTGGCTGGGAGCATTTACAGAGATTAAGGATTCTGCCAGGTGCGAGAAGCGCCCTTTGATATTTTCAGGGGGTCTTACACTCCCTTCTGAACATTACGCCTTCCTGCTACTCTGGGGATTCTGGTTTTGTGCCTGCCTGCTCACTGGCTCTAATGGTTGGGCCAAAACAGGCTGATATAATCTGATACGTTTACTGCGTAAAGGTCGCTCTTCCAGGATGACGCCTTGGGCTTCAGGCCTCCATGGAGTCCATTCCTGCAGACGTAGCTCATTGCTTAAGATGTTCACAGTGTCTTTGGGGACACAGACAGGTGAGCAGGCTCAGTGCTGTTAGAGTTAGCTATTGAGTGAGTGCAGAAAGCCAGCTTCTTGTGGGACAGGAGGTTAGGCTTTTCTGAAGGAGTTGTCCTCTGAGCCAACTCTTACTAGATGAAGTGTTCGTCAGGCCAAAGAGGGACAAGAGCGTTCTCAGCAACAGGACAGTGTATAAGAAGTCTAAGGTGCCCCCTGTGGAATATTTTTGAGAAATTGAACCTGAATCTACAAGCATATAGATAAAATGATCAGTTCACAAAAAATATGAAGGACAAAGGAATATATTAAAATGACATCTGGGCAGTCCTATGAGACAAATGACCTCATTTCTTTAAATACATAATAATAAAAACCAACACCTTGTTTGAAAAAAGCGAGGGAAATCTGCTCTAGATTAAAAATTAAAAACTTTAAAAAATATATAACTACAATACCATGACCATACCCAGCAAAATTAACAACAATCATATCAGCTAATACCCAGTACATGTTCCATTTTCTTTAGTTTTCTTAAAAAATGTCTTTTCACAGTCAATTTGTTTGGATCCATGTAAGGTCTGTTCATCACATTTGGTTGATATTCTCTTAAACATCTTTTAATTTAGAACAGATTTCTCTCATGCTTTTAATAGCATTTTTAAAAGAAACTGATCTATCTTGGAATGAGTTTTGTTTCTTTTGATTGATTTTGAAAATACTGTGTAGTGAATATATGTGTGGTATCTGTGTGTGTGAGAGAGGTGTTTCTCTCGTTGCTTTTTATGTGTGTGTATATATGTGTATATGTATTTCTCTCCATGCGGGTTTGTAGTACATACCATAGTCTACACGTACACATGCGCACGCACACCCTTTGCTAGGTTACATTTTCTCAATTTTACTTGATCATATAGTACCACTCTAATGTGTAATTTAAGTGATGCATATTATAGGGTAGTAATCTATACTCTAAAAGTGGTATATATTTTTTTGAGAAAGATGAACATATTATTTAATTAAAACGCTGTGCTAGTAAATTTTATTGTGAGCCATTCAGATTTTTATTTCCTTTTAAATGCAGTTACTCTGCATTTTAATTTACTTCCATCAGTAGTACTGAACTTGGGTATGTGATTTGACCTTGTTTTTAAATAGAAATATATAATGGATTTCTTTATTATAGCCAAATAATTTTACCATAATGATCCATTTTATATGGTCAGATGCTTACAAAAAATTTGTACCGATGAAAAAATTTTTGACAGTAGACTACTTTGATTTTATATAAGTTAGTATATTTGGTTTGATAAAAATTTTGACTTCTAGATCACTCATAGCATTTTATTTACTTGATATCTAACTGAATTTACATGGTATTTTCAAAGACATTTGAAGTCTATTTTTCAGATCGGTTAATTTGTCATCTCCTTGTATATAGTTTCAAAGAAATAGCATGAAATAACATTTTGCAAATCAAGACTTTTGCTGTTTTTTTTTTTATTACAGCTTTATTGAGATATGATTCATACACCGTACAATTCACACATTTGAAGTGGACGGTTCAGTGGTTATTTGATCTGTTCACAGGGTTGTATGACTACATTAATAACTGTAGAATATTTTCACCATACCCACTAGCAGTCACTCCTCACTTCCCCAACCACTGCTACTCTACTTCCTGTCCCTGGATTTACCTAATCTGGACATTTGATGTAAAGAGAATCGTGGAGTATGTGGTCTGTTGTTGCCTGGCTTGTTTCACATAGCATTCAAGTTTTCAAGGTTCACCCGTGTGGTAGCTTGTGTAAGTATGTCATTGTTTTTATGTTGAATAGTATTTCATTGTATGAATAGAGAGCACATTGCCTTTTGTTTCTCCACTTATGCATTCATGGACATTTGGGTTGTTTTCATTTTTTGGCTTTTATGAAAAATTCTGCTGTGGACATAAGTTTTCATTTCTCTTGGGTGTAGACCTCAGAGTGGAATTACTGGGTCACGTGGTAACTCTGTGTTGACCTTTTGAAGAACTGCCAGACTGATTTTCAAAGTGCTATACGATTTCACATTTGCACCAGAAATATTCAAGATTCCGCTTTCCCCACATGCTTACCAATACCTGGGGTTTTTTTTTTCTTTCCATTTTTAAATATAAATTTTAGCCACCCTAGGGGGTGTGATCTCATTCTGCTTTTGATTTGCATTTCCCTGATGGTTAACGATGCTGAGCATCTTTTCATGTGCTTTTGGCCATTTGTATGTTTTCTTTGGAGAAGTGTCTCTTCAGATCCTTTGCCCACTTTTAAATGGATTGTTTGTATATTATTATATTATTGAGTTGTAGGAATTCTTTACATATATTCTAGATCCAAGTTCCTTATCATATGTGATTACCATATTTTCTTATTCTGTGGGTTATCTTTATCTGTAGTAAGGTTTTATTTATTGATTTATTTTTTATTGATTTTAGGGAGAGAGGAAGGGGAAGGAGAGGGGGAGAGAGAAGGAGAGAGTGAGGCATCCATCTCTTATTCATGCATTCATTGGTTGGTTATTGTATGTGCCCTGACTGGGGACTGAACCCGCAACATTGGCATATTGGGATGATAATTTAATCAACTGAGCTACCCAGCCAGGGTGGCTTTTTGTTTTAAAATCTCTTTTGTCTAATACAGTCACACTTTGGTATTTGTCGGCTTCAGAACTTGTCAAACCCCGTGCTTGTCATATTTTGATAAGAAAAAAATGTTTCAGCACTTGCTCAGGACTTGTTGCACTTGATAGAACAAGAAAAAATGCTTCATTGTTGAGCACAAGTTCCAGAACAAATTAATGACGAGTATCAAGGTACCACTGTATTAGTATTTTTGATGTAGGAATGTTCCAACTTCTAGAAATTTTTTTGTAAGAAGTTCATTAGAGTTTATTTGAGCTCTACAGAGGATACACTGAGAAGCAAGATCTTAACAGACCAAGAAAAATTCTTCCCAGAATGACAGTTTGTAGTTTGAAGATTACATGAAGATGGGAGAAAGCAAGGTGGGAATTGGGTTACAGGATAGTTACCAAGATGATGTACTCTTTTGAGATGTCTGAGAAAGATTAACCTAGATGCAAAAAACAATGGACAGGGCTTGCTTAAGGCAAAGATAACCTTTTATTATACTAGTGAAGCTATAGGCCTAGGGCATGACCTGCCTAGTTAGTGATTTATGATTAGATCACTCTGTGAGGTTACTTTCAGTTAGATTTAATTCGGCACCCTCTTATGCATAATAGTATGGAGGTTTCTGAAAAATTAAAAATAGAACTACCATAGCATCTAGCAATTCAAGTTCTGGGTATTTATCTGAAGAAAACGAAAACACTAACTTGAATAGATATATGCACCCTCAAGTTCATTGCAGCATTATTTTCAATAGCTAAGATGTGGAAATAACCTAAGTGTTCATTGATGGGTGAATGGAAAAAGAAGATGCAGAAGATAATATATATATGGATATATATATACATTTATATAGATATATAGCTATTTCACCCATAAAGAAGAGTGAAAGCTTGGCATTTGCAACAGTGTGGATGGACCTGAAGGGTATTACGCTAAGTGAAATTAAGTTGGAGAAAGAGAAGTACCATATGATCCTCTTATATGTGAAATCTAAGAAATATGCATCAAGCTCATTTATACAGAGAACAGGTTGGTGGTTTCCAGTGGGGGTGGGGTGCTGCTGGGAGAAAGGGGTGAACTCTCTTTGTTCTGTAAGAGTTGATTTGAGCCAAAACTGATGACAGT